AGGCTCTCCGGGTCCTGCCGCTCGGGGCCCGCCAGCCGCCGGAACGCGGCCAGTACCGTCAGCCCCCGGTTGCACTTCCCGCCCGGCGCGTTGTACTCCAGCACCTGCGGAGCGCAGCCAGGTGAGCAGCCATGACCTGACCCCCCCTCCATCCCCGGTGCCGCCGCCCCGTCCCCGTTCTCACCTGCTTCAGCCGCGCCACGGCGTCTCCCACCTCCGGGTGTCCCAGCATGTCCTCCGTCAGGTCGCGGACGATCTGCGGGAAGAAGGCGGCGAACTCCTCGCGCTCGGCCGCTGCCCGCGCCCCGCTATCGCCGCTCATGGTGCCGGTCCGCGGTGCTGGTTCACGGTGCCAGTTCACGGTCCCGCCGCTGCCGCCCGCGACCTCCACAGCGCCTCTGGCCCCGCCCCCGCCCCGCCCACCGCGCGGGGCACGTCGGGACGCGCAGTCCCGAAGCGCGGGGGCGGCCGCTTACAGCGATGCCGCTGGACTACAACTCCCAGTGTGCCCCGCGCCTGAGGGCGGGCCAGCGGGCACGCGGCTGCAGCAGCGCCCATTGGCCCGTTTCATCGCGCGAGGATGAGCCCAAGGCGGCTGAGCCAATAGAAGCGCGGCGGGGGCGGGAGCGAGGCCGGTGATTGGTGGAGAGGGGGAATGGAGAGAGAGCCCGGCGTGGCGCGGGGGCGTGGCGGGGATTGAGGGCGTGGCTCCAGGGCGTGGCTTTAGGGCGTGGCGGGGCGTGTTCGGTAACCAGGCGGGGAATGGGGGCGCAGGCACCCGGACGGGGACAGGGGTGCGCTGGAACTGGGGCTGAATGGGGGTGTGGGGTGCTGGTGTGGGGGGCCATGCGCTCTGTGGGGTTGTAGGGCCGGTTTGGGGCGCTGTGCGGGTGTCTCCGTGCAGGTGTGGAATAACACGCGACTGTGGGGCGCAGCGCAGGTGTGGGGCGCAGCACAGGTGTGGGGTGCCGTGCGGCTGACATGCTGTGCAGGTGTGGGTGCATCACAGTTATGGGGTACAGAGCAGTTATAGGATACAGAGCGGGTGTGGGGTACAGAGCAGTTATAGGGTGCAGAGCAGTTGTGGGGTGCAGAGCAGGTGTGGGGTGCAAAGCAGTTATGGGGTGCAGAGGGGCTATGGGGTGCAGAGCAGTTATGGAGTGCAGAGCAGGTGTAGGGTGCAAAGCAGTTATGGGGTGCAGAGGGGCTGTGGGGTGCAGAGCAGTCATGGGGAGCAGAGCGGGTGTGGGGTGTGCTGCAGACCATGTGGGTACAGAGCGGCTGTGGGGTGCAGAGCAGGTGTGGGGTGCAGAGGGGCTGTGGGGTGCAGAGCAATTACAGGATACAGAGCAGTCATGGGGTGCAGAGCGGCTGTGGGGTGTGCTGCAGTTATAGGGTGCAGAGCAGTTTTAGGGTACAGGGCGGATGTGGGGTGTGGTGCAGCCTCTGTGGGTGCAGTGCTGTTATAGGGTACAGAGCGGCTGTGGGGTGTGCTGCAGTTATGGGGTGCAGTGCTGTTATAGGGTGCAGAGCAGCTGTGGGGTGGGGTGCAGTTATGGGGTGCAGTGCTGTTATAGGGTGCAGAGCAGCTGTGGGGTGGGGTGCAGTTATGGGGTGCAGTGCTGTTATAGGGTGCAGAGCAGCTGTGGGGTGGGGTGCAGTTATGGGGTGCAGTGCTGTTATAGGGTACAGACAGTTTTAGGGTACAGAGCCAATGTGGGATGTGCTGCAGCCTGTGTGGGTGCTGTGCAGGTGTGGGTACAGAGCAGTTATGGGGTGCAGTAGTGTTATAGGGTACAGAGCGGCTGTGGGGTGTGCTGCAGTTATGGGGTGCAGTGCTGTTATAGGGTGCAGAGCAGTTTTAGGGTACAGAGCGGCTGTGGGATGAGCTGCAGACCGTGTGGGCGCTGCACAGGTACGGGGCACCTGCAGTACAGGTGTGGAGGGTGGGTTGCACCGCACGCCCGTGTGCCCGTGGGAGCTCCCGGGTTCTGGGGAGGGGTCCCGCTGCCCACGGGCCCTCGAGGGGACACCGCAGGGGTGACCCGGGCCGGGCACACGCGGTGCCACCTTCCCGCTGCTGCCCGCAGCTCCTGCCTGGGCCCCCGCCCCGCAGATTGGCGCCCGCCCCGAATCCCCTAATCCCGGCTCACCCGCGTTAATTAATCTCTCCGTGGTGCCCTCTAATCCCCCTCCCGCCGCCACCGGGACGCGGGGGCTCGGGGCAGAGCCTCCGGTTCCAGGACGGGTGTCCTTGGGGAGCGGGAACCGGGCACGGGCGGGGGCTCTGCCCGCATCCCCGGGGCTCTGCGGGGCCCCCGTGTCCCGGGGCTTTGCCCTCAGCCCCGGGCGGGCAGCGGGGCTCTGCCGTGACCCGGTGGTCCCCGTGCCTCGGCCGCCAGAGCCGCCAGCCCTGCCGATGGACACCAATTGGATGGGAGAGTGTTGGAATAGGAATAGGACACATGCTGGAATTCATTCCCAAAAAATTCCCTTTTTGCCCTGCGCCCCCTTAATCAGGCTGGCTGCGGTGTAATCTGAAATAATCAAATTAGAGAGAAACCGTTAATCAGCGTTGAGCTCTTCGTGTGTCACGGAGCCTAATTCCTGCGGGGAGCGGGGGGGGCGCCAGCACCGGGACTGTCCCGGTAATGGGGGGCTGCGGGCAGGGGGGGCCCCGGTAACGGGGGGCTGAAGGCCGGGACTGCCCCGGTAACGGGGGGCTGAAGGCCGGGACTGCCCCGGTAACGGGGGGCTGCGGGTAAGGGATGCCCCGGTAACGGGGGGCTGCGGGTAAGGGATGCCCCGGTAACGGGGGGCTGCGGGCGGGGCCTGCCCCGGTAATGCAGGGCTGCGCTGGGGAGACCGGGCAGGGCACAGCGGGGTGGCCACCAGCGCCCGTGTCCTGCCAGCCCCCGTGTCCCGTTGCCACCGTGTCCTGTCTGTCCCCGTGTCCTGTCTGTCCCCGTGTCCTGCCACCACCGTGTCCTGCCAGCCCCCGTGTCCTGTCTGTCACCGTGTCCTGTCTGTCCCCGTGTCCTGCCAGCCCCCGTGTCCTGCCAGCCCCCGTGTTCTGTCTGTCCCCGTGTCCTGTCTGTCCCCGTGTCCTGCCAGCCCTCGTGTCCTGCCACCACCGTGTCCTGCCCGGGGGCTGTGGCCGGTGACAGAGCGCGGCCGTGCCCCGGGAGCCGCTCCAGGTGCCGCAGTGCCCGTGGCTCGGGTGCCCCGGCCCACCTTGCGCTGTGTGACCTTCATTTAATCGCGTTAATGCCTCGAGTGCTGCTCTGCAATCAGGCGGTATCAAACCCTCCCCTCCCCCCGGCAATAAAGGCACCGGAGATGGAAAGGGGAAAATAACCAAAGATTAAACATTAATCTGCCCATGGCCGAAAGGGACCGGGCTGGGTGGGAGGGGACCTGTTGCCTTTGGGCTCCTGCCGTGCCACCCTGGCCTGTGGGGCCGGGGAGAGGCCCCTCGATGGCTCCCGAGGGCTTCCCGGCTCTGCAGAAGGCCAGGATTGGAGCCGGGGTGCTGCAGCATCCCCCTGTCCTGCCCCATCCCCGGGCACGGTGCTGTGGGGTCGCAGGAGGTGCAGAAGGAGTTTCCCCTAGACCAGCTCAGAATCTCTCTTTATTAATTAAATCCATTATGTACAACGACCAAAAAATAAAAAAACGCTCTTAAATTCTCTGCGATATGAAAACTACAAGCTCTGTACATGGACTGCCGTGAGTGCAAGAGTGGAGGATCATGGTCTTTGGTGGCTAAACTTGCGCCCCCAGCCCCTGCAGCCTCCCCCGGGGTGGGCACCGGGCCACGAGGTGCCCACGGCGGCGGCGCCAGGAGCGCAGGGCGGCTCCGGCTCCCGACACGGGGCTGTGCAGTGAGGAGGGAGCTCGGTGCTGTCCCCGCACGCTCTGCGGGGCGCTGGGATGGCCGCTAACACATCTACATCACGCGGTGGGAACACAGCCCGGGGACTCGGGACAGCAGCGCGGCTCCGCTGCAGCCCCCGCCCGACGGAGCGCGGGGATGGAGCGGGACGGGGCGGTGAGCAGGGGAGGGCGGTTGAAATCCATGGAAAAAAGGCAGTGCAGGACATCCCCTGCCGGGATTCCTGTGGGCTGGTGCTCCCAGAGCAGCCCCGAGCTCCGGACTGCTCCCGACGCCCCAAAACACGAGGGTGGAGAACGGGACACCTCACTTGGGGAAGTACTGAGGGGAACGAGACCTCGCCCGCTGCGCTGGGGGTCCGGCGGGCCCCGCTCGGCCCCAGAGCACGAAGACAAGCCATGGTTCCTGACTCCGGGAGAGGGAAGCAGCTGGCACGGCACGGTGGGGACGGAGGGGACACTACTCTAACCAGGACTGAACACGGTTGGCCCAAAGCGACACTGGAAGCAGAGCTCGGCTGCTTGGCAGAGCCACGACTCGCACACACATTGCACACTACTGTCTCTGGAGGGGGAGGGAGGGGGCATCTGCGGGGACCCCGGGCTCCTGTTGGACGGGGGGTGACCCCAAAGCCCCACACGTCACCCAGGCGCTGCCCGGGATTGGCATTTCTTTGTGACAGCCTTTTGCTCCTGTGGCACCGGTGACTGGCATCTCCAGGGGACCTGGAAATGGGACTGCAGGGCAGGGCAGGGGAGCAGAGCCCGGGCTGAGCATCCTCCTGCAGCCACAGGCAGTGGGGGCCCTGCAGGTGACCCTCTGAGCATCCTCTTGGAGCCACAGAGGGTTCCCTTGGAGTGACCCTCTGAGCATCCTCCTGGAGCCACAGAGGGTTCCCCTTGGACTGACCCTCTGAGCATCCTCTTGGAGCCACAGAGGGTTCCCCTTGGACTGACCCTCTGAGCATCCTCCTGAGGCCACAGAGGGTTCCCCTTGGACTGACCCTCTGAGCATCCTCCTGGAGCCACAGAGGGTTCCCTTGGACTGACCCTCTGAGCATCCTCTTGGAGCCACAGAGGGTTCCCCTTGGACTGACCCTCTGAGCATCCTCCTGGAGCCACAGAGGGTTCCCTTGGACTGACCCTCTGAGCATCCTCCTGGAGCCACAGAGGGTTCCCTTGGACTGACCCTCTGAGCATCCTCCTGGAGCTGCAGGCAGCAGAATCCCCCCAGGCTGCCCCCATGGGGGCACGTGGAGGGGCAGTGCCCGGCTGTGGGGCAGAGCCCTGCCCAGCAGCACATCCCAACCTCCCTGGCACTCAGCACCTCTGAGGCAAAACGGTCCCACAAGCAGGGCAGAGGGACTGGGGGGCTGCTCCTCGGCCCCCCAGCGTTGGCCCTTGGCACTCGTCACACCAGGGGAGCCCTGCCCAGGACCCCCAGGTGGTCCTGGCACTCTGGGAAGGGGAAGTGCTGACCCTGGGCCCCCACGCCCCTGCCATGGGCTGCAGCCCCCTCCCTCCACCCGGGCAGAGGACCCAGGGGGTGCCTCTGCCTCCTCACCCTGGAGGCAAAGGCGCTGGCAGAGCAGTCTGGGGACCGAGGTGGGCATCGGGCAGCCCCTGCTGTGACAGAGGACAAGCTGGAGGAGCTGCCATTGTCAGCCTGCCCCGAGGCCAGGCTGTGGGACACACGGCACAGAGCGTGGGGGGCCCAGCCCCCGAGGGGCAGTTATGGGGATCTGAGCTCCCCAGAGAGGCCAGAGTTTGGGCAAGGGCTCTGACCTGTCCTATGCCTCCGGCAGGAGGGCAGAACTCACAGATGGTGATGAGCAAGGAGGGGGAGAGCCCGGGCAGGGTGACCCCCTTGGGGCAGTCAGCAGAGCCCCCTCCTCATCCAGCTGGGCCCATGCCCATCCCTGCCGTGTCCCCGTGCCTGAAACAGCCCCTCCATGGCCCCGCCTGGTGCCTCTCACCTCATTTTCCCTCCGACACGGCGGGGCTGGTGCTCTGCTTCTCCTGCCTCCTCTGCCGCCGGCACGCCCGGCTCCCTCCTGCCCGTGCGGCCGCCGCCAGGACTCACATGTTGGACGGGAGTTTGGGCTTCGCCGTTTCCACCTCGGGGCTGAAGGCCACGGAGCCCTTGCGGGAGGGACCGGCTGCCTGCCGGGACGCGGGGCCCGGGGACTGCGGCGTGGAGCGGCCGGGCTGAGCCAGCGATCCCGAGGGCATCTGCTGCGAGTGTGCGGGCATCCCCGAGCACGGCTTGGCCAGCAGTCCGGCTACCGAGGGCGAGGACCTGCGGGCCAGGTTCCCTGCAGATTTCCTGCCCTGCTTCAAGGAGCTCCCGTCGGCTTGCTGGGCCACTTTGTTGGGAAGGGAGGGCTGGGAGGCGGAGAGGAGCCGGACATCCTGGGTGAGCCGCCCCACCGGCAGCCCCTGGATGCTCCTGTGCTTCACCAGCTGCTGGGGATGCATCAGGAGCGAGATGTGCGAGCCGGTGGCTCGGGACAGGCTGTAGTGGAGCGTTCTCCCCGGCGGCAGCGCCTGCTCGGAGCTGGGGGACGCAGCGCCCGCCGCTTGCTGCAGCAGCGAGGTGGAGACCGAGGCGCCGCGGGACCGGGAGAGCTGGGGCTGGGGACCGGCCGGGGGCTGCTTGGCCCCCGCTGGCATCTCCGCCCTCTGCGCCGTGCGGGGCAGGGGCTGCGCCCCCGAGCTGGGTCTCTGGGCCCCCGCGCTCTCCAGCGGTACCTGGGACTGGAGCATGGGCGAGGAAGGCGAACCTGCGGCCGGCGTCTGCAGGTGGGACTGAGCCCCGGAGGGCGAGCTCACCGAGGAGGGCCGGGAGCCGCCCAGGCTGGGCTGGGAGCGGCGCACGGGCTTGGTGAGCAGCGTGGCTTCGGGAGAGAGCGGGCTGGAGATGGAGGAGGGCGGCAGGAAGATGTGAGCCTGCAGGCTGTGCTGGTGGGTCAGCGCGATGGCCACGTTGGTGGTGGCGGCGGCTGTTTGCAGGGGTGCGTGCACCAGCGGCTCCCAAATCACCGGCTTGCCGCTCAGCTCCCGGCCCATCGCCATCTGCTGCAGGTCCTGGATGTTGTGGGCCATGTCCTGGTCGTGCTTCACGATCTGCTGGATCATCTCGGTGTTGAGGGGCCCCGAGCTGTGCTCGGCTCGCTTGCGGAGCAGGATGGAGTTCTTCTTCCCTGGAGGGGAGGCAGGAGTGTCACCGACACTGGGACCGCGGGCTCTTGGGGACAGTGTGGAGGGCAGGGTGGCACTGGGAAGGGACAATAAAACCTCACCAGCGTTCCAGGGGAAGGGCCTAGATTAGAGCAGTGGAAGCAGCAGGGACAAAACAGGAGAGTCCTGACTCCAAAGAGACTGGGGGCTGGGGTCCTGCTTGTCCTCCACAGGCAAGGAAGGGTGAGGAGGAGCAGCTGGTCACTGCCAAACACTGCAAGGACCGTGCAGTGCACTTACATTTCCCCAGGGAAGCCTGTCCTATGGATCTTGCTGGGTGGGAGAGAGAGGGCAGGCTGCTTCCCCATGCTCCCCATCATCCTCATTGCTGGGCACCCATGGGGCTGGGGCACTCATCCCAGCTCTGTGACTCCACACCTGTGTGCCTGGGGGTCTGTGGGCCCTGGAGGTGGCTGTGCTGAGCCCAGGAGGCCCCTCCTCCTCACCTATGCGGTCCAGGCGGTCCATGGCCACGGTCTCGAAGGCTCTCCTCATCATGGGGTACTCCTCCAGCACCTCGTTGAAGTTGTCCACGGCCAGGGAGTACAGGCGGCAGTAGGTGTCGGCTCTGACGCTGGCCGTGCGCCTGCCCCGCGTCAGCAGGCAGATCTCTGCAGGGACACGGGGCTGGCCTCAGGGTGACACAGCCATCCAGCCCCCTGCCGGCCCTGGGAGCAGGAACAGCACTGCCCAGCACCCCAGCACCCTGCACAAAGCATGGCTCAGAGGCAGGGACAGACCCCGCAGCCTCTCTCCTTGGCCAGGCATTTTCCTCCCTCTTCAGGCCATGGGGACACCCCCAGGTGTGGCTGCTGTGATGGCCTGGCCTGTTTCCCTCCCAGAGCTGTGCCTGTATCCTATAAACTGGCTCAGATTTTCTGCTCTAACCTCCTCTCCTCCCTGGCCAGCAGTGGATCTCCCCCTGCCCCAGCCAGACAGAACTGGCGTGGAGACCTTGGCACTTTGACTGGATGCCAAGACTTTGGCACTGGACAAGAGGAGAAGGGCGGGCAGAAACATCAGGGATGCCCCAGCTTCTGCTCCTGGGCAGCTTTTGGCCCCTACTCTGTCCACCAGCTCCCCCAGCCCAGCCTCACCCCCAAAGTAGGAGCCATCAGACAGCTTGGTCTCCTTGTTGCCCTTGGTGAGGATGCTGACCACGCCGTGCTGGATGAAGTACATCTTTTTGCCCACGGTGCCCTCACGGATGATGAAGTCCCCAGGTTGGAAGACCTCGAAGCGCAGCTTGGTCAGCATGGCTGTCACAAAGTTGGGGTCAGCGTTGGCAAACAGGGGCATGTTGGCCACCAGGTTGCGGCAGTTGAAGTTGATGATTTCCTGTGGGGTGAGGATGAGGAGCAGCTCAGCGGGTGTGGCCACATTTCACTTCACAGAGAAAAGCAAGACACAATTCTTCCCAAGAATATTTCTGTGTTTCACATTCTCTGAGCCTCAGAGAAAGGAAAAACAATTCTTCTCGTTTGCTGTGCCTGTGTTGTGCCAAAGTGGAATGCAATATGAAAATTATTTACCCAGAGTGGTGGTGTTTTGTTTCCTTGGCCTATCAGGGCCAAGTGTGTACATATGTTGGGACTGTCAGCCGACAGTCAAGAGATATTGAGCAGTTGTGTACAAAGTTGAGTACTTGGCAAATTCAGTTTAGATGTGATATGATATGATATGATAAAATATAATATAATATAACATAATATAATATTAAGAATAGAATAGAACAGAACAGAATAATTAATTACCCTTCTGATATTATAGAGTCCTTCTCATAATTTCTCCCCACACAGGGGTCATCCTCTTTCAAAAAGTGGGGACATCACCGAGCCTGGCCCCTGCCAGCAGCAGCCTCTGCCCTCCAGCTCACAGCCCGGGAGTGCTGCCCTCACCTCTTTGAGTGGCTCACTGAGCTCCCCCAGGATGTTCTCCTCATCAAACATCTTGCCCTGGTAGCGGTGCTCGTAGTACTCGTGGATGCGCTGGCGGGTGTCCCCAGGCAGCTTGTGGAAGGACATGTACTGCTCCACTTGCTTGTACTGTGGGGACAAGGGGAGTCACATGGGGCTCAGCTGGCACCACCTGCACGGCTGCAGGATGTGTCCCTTCTTCTCAATGGTGTAGATACAGACACCCCTGCTCCAGCGCCCTGACCCAAAGGGGGCAAAGGACGGGACAGCTGTGCACTCAGGATGCACAGGGAAGAGGGCAGGGTGGGGCCACACTGTGCAGAAGTGACCCCCAGTATGGACACCAATATGCTCCCACCCTCAATGGGCAGCCCAAGCTCCACCTGCAACAACCCAAGGGAGAGTGGCAAGGCCAAAGATCCCAGCCTGTGGAATCAGAAGGGCACGGTAGCTGTGCTGAGCTGGTTCTGGAGCGGTGCCAGACTCTTTCCCCAGTACCCAGGCCCTCCCTCCCCAACCCCACTGACCTTCTCCTGGTACTGGCGCCGGGACGAGTCCAGGGACTGGATGAGGGCGGTGGCGTGGCCGATGAACATGGCGTAGCAGGTGGCTCCCACGATCATGCTGAGCATGGTGAGCCACACGTCGGTCATGCCCTCGGGGGCCTGCTGCCCGTAGCCGATGCACAGCATGTGGCTCATGGCCTTGAACAGGGCGTGTGAGTACTGCTTGCCCCAGGAGTCGTTCTGCAGGTGAGGGACAGTGGTGCTGAAGGGTTTGGTGGAAGGCGCTGTGCAGCTGAACCCCCCCAGTCCCACCTCCCTGAGCTGGGGAGTCCAGAGACCAAGGTTCCTCCAAGGCCAAAGGGATGAGTTCTCCTCCATGAAGAGGACTGTGAAGCCCTAAACGGGCACCAGCCCCTCTCTGGGGAGGAGGCAGGAGCCCCAGTGTCTTGTTCCCTCCTCAAGGGATGAATTCTCCTCCATGAAGAGGACTGTGAAGCCCTAAACAGGCACCAGCCCCTGCTCTGGAGAGAAGGCAGGAGCCTCAGTGTCTTACTCCCTCCCCAAGGGATTCCCTGGCTCCAGCAAGCTGGGCTGAGATGGGAAGGTGATGCAGAGGTTCCCTCTGCCCTGTCTCAGTGCTGTGACCGCGGGGACAATGCTCACCAGCACGTCTCCCAGCAGCTCCAGCCTTGGGGTGGCAGACAGGGAACCAAATCCTCTCCCCACCAGGGCAGATCCCAGCTGGAATCACCCCGGTCTGGGCACTCACCACCATGTGGTTCTTGGAGACCCAGCAGTCCTCAGGGAAGTCCTGCAGCATGGGCACCAGGAACTGGAGGCAGCCATCCCAGTGGCACAGCAGCAGCATCATCCCGATGAGGTTGAAGATCCTCACCACGGCGCTGGCCAGGTCGTACGTCATGTGGAAGATCTGGAGAACATGCAGGAGCGGAGCTGCAGAGGAACTCTCCTCCTAGGACAGCCCTTGGAGCCCTCTGCCCTCCAGCTGGGGACCCCCAGCCTGGCCTGGGACCCTGAGCAGGAGACCCCCCCGGGGTTCTCACCTCCTCCCACTGGTGGATGTAGCGGATGAGGCGCGAGAGGCGCAGCAGGCGCAGCAGGCTCAGGATCTTGGTGAAGCGCACGATGCGCAGCGCCCGCGCCGTCTTGTAGACATCAGAATCCACCTGGGTCTCCAGGTCAACAATGAGGAAAATGTAGTCAACAGGGATGGAGGAGATGAAGTCGACCAGGAACCAGCTCTTCAAGTACTTCATTTTGATGGTGTGAGGGTCGAGGATGATCTCCGTGTTGTCCTCCACCACGATGCCTGTCCGGAAGTTCAGCACCAGGTCAGCCAAGAAGAAAGTGTCCGAAAGCACGTTGAAAACGATCCAGGGAGGGGTGTTCTCATCCTTGAAGAAGGTGATGCCCACGGGCAGGATGATCAAATTCCCCACCATCAGGAGCAGCATGATGAGGTCCCAGTAAAACCTGCAGGGTGGGAATGCAGGGGCCAGAGTGGGACAGGCAGGACACAGTTAGACAATAAACCAGGATCAAAGTTGGGGTCTGACAGTGCAGAGAGACAGGTGCTGAGCAGACACACACACACACGTGCCTGCCCACACACATGACTAACAACACCCTGGGCCAGGTGTGAGCAGAAATGGGGTGCAAAAGTCACCCTGTGTGGGAATGGGGGGTGCAGGAGCTTGGCTGTCTCTCTCTCCATTGCAGGGCAGTGCATTCACTCCTATGCCCCCACCCCAAAGCTGCCACGTGCCCCATGGAGAGCTCAGAGAGGATGTGGGCTTTGCTCCCCTGAGGCTCCTTGTCATCTGCTGTCTCCCTGCCACCACCCGAGGTGGCTTAGCAGGATTTGGGATAAGCTTTGCTGGTTATGCAAACGGAGAGCCGAGCTCCTGGGGCAGCAGAAAAGGATTAGGGAGGCTGTTGTGGTGAGCCAGGCAGCAGCCAAGCAAGGATAGACCATGCTGGCACCAGGGGAAGGTGGGAGGAGGGTCCAGCCCTTCAGGAGGTGCCACATGCACAGGGCAGGATGAGGGCACTCCTCATCCACCTCCCTTGGCTGAGAGTGGGCAGGCTCAGAGGGTTTGGAAGGGAGGGAAAGCCAAGAGATGCCGGCAGCAGCTGGATATGTCAGGACACCCAGCAGCCCTGTTCACATGCAAATGCCACCGGGATGTTTTCATTCTTCACACAGACACATCACGACTTTCTCCACCAGCCTTGGGATCCCCCATCAGAGCCTTCATGGGCCCTTGGGAAAGCAAGCCCAGGTTTAGGTGTCCCCAGGCATCCCCTGTTAGTCCCAGCCCTGGCTGTGGGTGTAGGCTCAAATCTCCAAAGGTGATTTCAGGGCAGCTCTCAGTGCCCAGTGAGTCCAAACCAGCTTTTGCAGGTGGCAGAAGCCTGTGGGGATTTCCTACCCCATACCCATGGTGGGACACGGGTACTGGGATCTCTGCAGCTGGGGAAGGGGAAGGGGAAGGGGAAGGGGAAGGGGAAGGGGAAGGGGAAGGGGAAGGGGAAGGGAGGTCCTGGTGCTGTGAGAGGCTCGTCAGAGAGAGCACCAGAGCCTGAGGGGAGTAGGGGGAGGCACCCTCTCCTCAAGGAGCCACCCCAAGGTCAGGTCCAGAGACCACCCCAGGGCCAGGAACCCACCTCAGGGTCAAGAGCCTCTCCCAAATTAACACCTTCCTGCCAATGGCCAGGATTTGCTGGGCCAGGGAAGGAAATGAGGCAGAAGGGGCCTGACCCAGCTGAGGAATTGCCTCCTGCACCTCCATGCTGTGCCCTGAGAAGCTGATCAGGGAAGCTGCCTGTCCCTGCAGCTGCCCAAGCCTGCCTGGAGCCCTCACTTCAGATTTAGGCTTAAGCTCTTTAGGACAGGCCTTGTCCTTCACTGAGTGTCACACTGAACACTTGGGGCCCTGATCTCCATGGCCTTTATGTATCTCCCTAATGTGATAAACACTGGAGTAATCCCTCTGTCTGTCTACCTGCCAGCTCCCTTCACGCTGCTGCGTGCAGAAACTGCTCCTGCCGAGCTCCAGGCTCACAAACTTTGGGATGCTTTCCCTGGAAAAGGGCTCTCAGGGCTGGGTGCCATGCTGGAGTGGTGCAAGGGACCCAGCGAGTGGCAGGGGCCCAGTGGTGAGGGGGGATGGCTACAGGTGCCAGGGACCCCCAGCGGGTGCTGGCTGCGTTCTCCAGGCTGGGGACATCGTCCATGTCACAGCTTGCTGCGGGAGATGACTGCCTGGCAGCTCCATTCCCCGTGGAGAAAGCCCACCCTATATGACTCAACATCCCCGTGACACCCAGTTCCTCCCACATCATCCATCCCCGAGCTCCCGCTGTGATCCCGGTGACACCGAGAGCCGGGCCCGGCTCCTCGCTGGGTGAGCGGCCCCGCTCCAGCCGCGGGGAGCCGCGTCCCAGGGGGAGGAAGGCTCCTGATGGAATTAAAAACAGCATCGAGAAGGGCGGGGGGAGCTCTAAGGGCAGGCAAAGCCCAGCAACCCCCGCCTCCGCCTCCGCACGCCCGGGGCCGGGTCAGCGGAGCTCCGCGGCTCGGCGGAGCCGGGCTGCCCCGGGCACCGGGAGCCCCGGGAGCCGCGGGAGCCGGGCAGGACAGAGCCGTCCGTGCGGGCGGGATAATCCCGGACGGGAAGGGGCTGGGGCAGCGCGGCCCCGGGCTCCGGCGGTCGGCAGCCGCCTCCCCGGGCCGGTGCGGAGCCCCGGCTACCGGCACTTGTTGCCCCTACGGTGTCGGGCGGCGGGGCCGCGCTCAGCACCACGGACAGCGGCGGCGGGCACCGGAGCCGGAGCGGGGACCGGCGCCGGGATGGGGGTCGGTGCCGGTGCCGGGGCGGGGGTCGCGGGGTCCCGGTCCCACCTGAAGTCGCTGTAGGGATGGATAATCCAGGCGCCCGCCGACTTCACCCGTTGCCGCTCGATCTCCACGGCCCGGTGGCTGCCGAACATGCGCAGCGAGAACTTGTTCACGGCGGGCTGCAGCATCGCCCCGAGCTGCCGCTGCACGAACGTGCCCGCCGCCGCCGCCTCGCCCTCCGCCACGATCTGCTCCGTCGCCGCCGGCGAGGCCGGGGCCGCGCCCGACGCCCCCGCGGGCGCCCCCGCTGCCTCCCCGTCCAGCACCGGCGGCTTCTCCCGCGGCTCGGGGCTCCGCCGCGGCGCCGCCTCCATCCCGCCGCCGCCGCCTCGCCTCACGTTTCCTTCAAACGCCCTTGCCCGGGCGCCCTGCCCGTCGCCCCGCCGCACATGCCCGGCCCCGGGCGGGCGGGCGCTCGCTCGCCGCCCGCGGCCACTCGCTCACCGAGCGCTCACGGAGCTCCGCCGGCGCCCGCCTGTTGCGCACGCTCCGGCGCGGGCGCGGCGGCCGCCGGCAGCAGGGAAGCACCGGAGCGGCGGCGCGGGGAGCGGCGAGGCCCGGGCGGCACCGGAGCGGCGGCGGCGGCGGGACCCCGCGGCGGGCGGGGCGGGGCGGGGCTGGCGGGCGGGGCCTCGGGAAGGAGAACGCGCCCCCCGGTCCGGCCCCGGTACCGCCGGAGGGACCGAAGAGGGGCGGGGCTTCAAGGAGAGAGAGGCGGGACTACCCGAGAGGGACCACGCCCCTTCTGTCTAGCCCCGCCCCATCGCGGGCGGCGGAACGAGGAGAGGGCGTGGCTTGGAAGAAGGTGGGCGGACAAGGGGCGGAGCTCCTGGAGGCGATGGGCGAGGATATCAGCATAGGCCCCGCCCATAGCTCGACCCCGCCCCTCGGGTCTGTCCCGCCGCCGTCAGGAGGGAGAGGTGTGGCTTCGGGGAGGAGGTGGGCGGGGCGAGCGACCCAGGCCCCGCCCCTCAAATCTCGCCCCGCCCCTCGGCCTCGCCAAGGCCGCGCCGCTGGGTCCGAGAAGGGGGCGTGGCTTAAAGAGGGATCCGTGCGGAACCGGTCCCGCCCCTCTGCTCTAACCCCGCCCACCGGCCCCACCTGGTGTGACGCAGCTCCGCGCGCCTACGTGCGTGAGTACGTGATCGCGTACGTGCGTGCGCGGCCCCGCGGGCTGGCAGGACCCGGATCGGCGGCGGCGGCGGCGGCAGGAGCTGGAGCGGGGCCCGGGGGCCCACGGCCGCCATCACGGATTTCCTGTGGGACAAGCGCACCGGGCTGGCTGCGAGGACGGTGCGTGGCGGTGCGGCGCGGTGCGAGGCCCCGCGGGCCGGGGCGGGGTGGGTAGGCCGCGGCCGGTGAGGGCGGCGCGGGGCGGGCCCGGTTTGTCGTTCCCGGCGGGGCCGCGGTGGCAATCGGTGGCCTGGGTGTTCCCGTGAGGGCGGCGGGGCCGGATGGCCCGGAGGGACCCGGTCGGGGCCTCCCCGCCGAGGCCGCCCCGCCCTCTCCCGGTGTCCCGGTGCTTCCGGGCCTGCACGGCGGATGCCCCGCCCGGCGCGGCCGCCATCACCGTCCCCAAAGCGGTTCCAGCCCCGCTGCGGAACGCAGCCCCGGTGCTCGTTCCACGGAGCCGGGCCTTGGCGGGCCGCCAGCGCCGCCTTCGCGCTCCCTTCAGTCCGCGGCTGGAAACCGCGGGGCTCGGGGGGAACCCCGGGCAAAGCCCCCCGTGCAGGCGGTACCGGGCCCGTGCCCCCGATCACCCCACGCCGGGGCCGGTTCGGCCTGTCCGAGCCCTGGCGGTGATGTCAGCGCTGGGCGGGGACGGGGACGCAGCCGGGGGCATTTTGGATGGGGGAAATTGCCGCGGGAGCTCCGGCTTCTCCTGGGGCCCTGGCACAGATTGCCCAGAGAAGCTGTGGCTGCCCCATCCCTGCGGTGTTTAGTGCCAGGTTGGAGCAGCCTGGGCCAGTGGAAGGTGGCCCTGCACATGGCAGGGGGTGGGACTGAGTGAGCGTGATGGTCCCTCCCAGTTAACGTTCCATGATTCCACCAATTGTGCTTGGAACCCAAATCCGTATGGGGAATGTTTGAGAGCTGTGGGGCACGGCCTGGCAGGGTCTGAGGGGCTGCAGCCTCTGTACCATCCCACCTCGGGATCTCCTCGGCTCCAGGCTCTCCAGAGGGGCTGAGCTGAGACCCCTGAGGGTCTACAGGGCTCTGTTGGTGCCCTTTGGATCCCTTTGGCTCCAGGCTCTCCAGAGAGGCAGAACTGAGGGTCTGCAGGGCTCTGTTGGTGCCCTTTGGATCCCCTTGGCTCCAGGCTCTCCAGAGAGGCAGAGCTGAGGGTCTGCAGGGCTCTGTTGGTGCCCTTTGGGAAGGGAGGGTTTGCTCCTGGGTGGTTCTCCACTGACAGAGGGATGTGTGTCACCAATCTCCTGAGTTGGGAGGGATCCAAAGGCATCAGCACATCCTGATGTCCTTCCCCAGGACACCCCAGCAATCCCGGCCTGTGCATCCCTGGGAGCATTGTCCAACCTCTCCTGGAGCTCTGGCAGCCCTGGGGCTGGGACCATTCCCTGGGGAGCCTGGGCAGTGCCCCAACAACCTCTGGGGGAAGAACCTTTTCCTATATCCAACCTAAACCTCCCTGCCACAGCTGCAGCCATTCCCTGGGGTGCTGTCACTGTCACACAGAGCAGAGACCAGAGCTGTCCCTCCTGGGGAAGCTGCAGCCCCCTGAGATCTCCCCTCAGTCCCAGCTGAAGAGACCAAACAGCCCCAGAGCCTTCCCCACCCTTGTGACCCAGTGTAGATGTCACTTGGCAGGAAACCTGAGGCATCTCTTGAGGAGCTGCTCTCTGGGCATCCATTGCTGGATTAAGCCTGATTAAGCCTTTTTCTGACCTAGAGATGGGGCAACTGAGAGGCATTTTAAAAACTTTTATTCTGTTTATTCCCAGTTTATTCTATTCTCCTTTATTCTATTTATTCTCTATTTATTCTATTCTGTTTATTCTCAGTCTCATATGAAAGGTGGAAGAATTCAGATGTTATAATTCACGTCATCACAATCAGAAATGAACTCTTTCTTAATTACAGTACATCAGAATAATTTTTTGGCTTATTTAGCCACACCATGCTGTAAATACTTTAAAGCAAATAATTTAAAATTACCCCTCGTGGGTCCCACTACAATGCATCTTTCATACTTCTGTTTCTCCAAATTATCCAGTCTTATTTGCAAGGCCACCTTTTAAAACTTCTGCCAGGCTTTGAGCATTTTCTATAAATCCATTTCTCACATTGCCCAGGGGCTCTGGTGACATCCAGGGCTTCATTTCACATTCCCTCCCCTCCCTTGGTGCTGCTTCCCTCATTCCTGGGCAGCTTGAAGAGAAAAGGTGCAAAAGCTGTTCCTGGAGCTGTGGGCAGTAGAGATGGGTGTGAGGAAGAGATACAAACCTGGCCATGAGAACCAGGGTTCTTTTTCTGGGAAAGGGAACGGGGCAGGATGACCATGGGGGGGGTCTCACCCTGTCCTGTGGGGCTCTGGGGTCTCTCAGAGGTTGCTCTCCTCTCTCAGATCCCCTGGCACACTCACACACATTGGGTTCCTGTCCCATGCAGCTGTTAATGCTGCCCTGCTGTCCCCACAGGTGCCACAGGGTCCCTGCTGTCCCCACGGGTGCCTCACAGCTGAGAGGGGGTCTCCATGGGGTCCCCACGAGTGCCTCACAGGGTCCCTGCTGTCCCCACGGGAGCCTCACAGGGTGCCTCACTGTCCCTGCTGTCCCCACAGGGTCCCTGATGTCCCCATGGGTGCCTCACAGGGTCCCTGCTGTCCCCATGGGTGCCTCACAGGGTCCCTGCTGTCCCCTTGGGTGCCCCACGGGGTCCCTGCTGTCCTCGCAGGGTCCCTGCTGGTCCCACAGATGCCTCGCAGGGTCTGTGCCATCCCCACAGGTCCCTGCTGTCCCCACAGCTGCCTCACAGGGTCTCTGCTGACCTCACAAAGTCCCTGATGTCCCAACAGATGCCTCATGGGGTCCCTGCTGACCCCACAGGTTTCTGCTGTCCCCACAGGTGCCTCATGGGGTCCCTGCTGTCCCCATGGGGGCTTCACAGGGTCCCTACCATCCTCAGAGGGTCCCTGCTGACCCCACGGGTGTCTCAGTGTCCCTCTGTCCCCATGTGTGCCTCAGTGTCTGTGCTGTTCTCATGGGGTCCCTGCTGTCCCCATGGGTGCCTCACAGGGTCCCTGCTGTCCCCATGAGTGTCTCACGGGGTCCCTGCTGTTCCCAGGGGATCCCCACTGTCCCCATGAGTCCCTGACGGTCCCCGCTGTCCCCAGGGTGTCCCCACAGGGTCCCCACACCTCCCTGAGTGTCCGTGCTGTCCCCTCAGATGCCGCACTCCCGAAGGTACCGCTCGTCGGAGTGCAGCAGCCGCGGCAGTTACCACGGGGTCCCTGAGTGTCCCCATGGGTCCCTGAGTGTCCCTGCTGTCCCCACGGGTCCCTGAGTGTCACTGGTGTGTCCCTGCTGTCCCCACGGGTCCCTGAGTGTCCGTGCTGTCCCCGCAGATGCCACACTCCCGAAGGTACCGCTCGTCGGAGCGCAGCAGCCGCGGCAGTTACCACGAGCGCTACCGGAGCCGCAAGCACAAGCGGCGGCGGACGCGGTCCCGGTCCAGCAGCAGCGAGCGGGACCGGCGGCACCGGCGGGAGGACAGCTACCACGTCCGATCCCGGAGGTGAGCGGGGCTTCAGCTGCCCTCCTGCACGGGCTCACACGGGGGCTGGGCTGGGAGGCACCTCTGGGGTCACCCAGTGCTCAGGGACACGGCCGGGTGGGTTTGGGATGTGTCCAGAGAGGGAGGTGCCATGCTCGGCCTGGGCAGCTGTGCCAGTGCTCTGACATCCTCTGTGGGAACAGCTTCCTGTCACTGGGCACCGCTGAGAAGTGTCTGGCACCATCCTGGCACCTACCTTGGAGTTACTGATGTGGGGTGTCCTCAGAGAGGGAGGTGCCATGCTCGGCCTGGGCAGCTGTGCCAGTGCTCTCACATCCTCTGTGCCAACAACTTCCTGTCACTGGGCACCACTGAGAAGTGTCCGGCACCATCCTGGCACCTGCATTGGAGATACTGATGTGGGATACTTCAGAGAGGAAGGTGCCATGCTCACCCTGGGCAGCTGTGCCAGTGCTCTGCCATCCTCTGTGGGAGCAGCTTCTTCTTTGTGTTGGGGTAGAGCATGGTGTGTTTTAGTTTATGGTCATTGCTACCCATCCTGTCAGTGGGCACCACTGAAAAG